GCGGTCACGTGAGCCGGCGGGGGCGGGGCCTGGGAGGGGCGTGCCGCCGAGGTCAGCCCACAGCCGCGCGTTCCGAAGGCGCCCCGCCGAGAACGTGGGCTTCGTGGCTGTTCTCGGGCTGTCTGTCTTTGGCCGTCCCGTCTTTTCCTTTGGTCAGATCATTCCTAAAACTGGTAGCAGTCTTGCTGCAGCGCTTTATTTGTGCCAACCTTGTGGCCTTCTATTCATTCCAGTTCGGTAATCTCGAAGCGCCTACCGCGTGGCTCATCAAGTGCTTGGTCCGGGTGACCAAGCTAGGTTCAGCTAGAAAGTATGGTTTCTTAAAGAGCTTGCAGTTTAGGAGGAAGGCATTTGTTTATTCATTCAACAAGTATTTTGAGCACCTACTATTTGCCAGATGTAGCTGAACAAACCAATATTCATAAGTCTCTACAAGTGCAATGAAAAGTCTGGTTCATCTCTATTTTTCTCCCAGACCCACGCCCTTCCTCCAACATGAATGACCTAAGGAATGAATGGCTGTGGAACACAATAACTGGAACACAGTAGCTGTACTGGTTGCAGTAGTAATAAGGTTGTAATAGTTGAAAACAGTGCTGAATTTTGTTCCAGATTCTATTCCCTCAATCATATTTGCCTAGTTGAACTACATCAAAATGAAACAACCTGAGCAGTAGAGGGCGATAAAGAGTTGGGGAAAAGATGGAAAAGAGGCTGGGCCAAGTATGAAGTCACGTATTTTTAAATGAAATTTAAGGCCATCAAAAGGGCAGCCAGCTTCTTTTTTTAGTCTTGTCCTTATCTCTGTAGTTTTATTCTCACCCTCATCCTCATAAATGTTTGCATTTAATTTTTAAAATTATTTTAATTATCCAAGTAATACAGGAATATATCCTTATTGTAAATTAATTTCATGTCTTTCACCTAATAACCCTTTCCAAAAATAATAATACAGCTTGTAGACTGTTGCAGAGAAATGGAAGAGAAACTTGAGTGATTTACCCTAAAACACACAGTGAGAGGACCAGAAGAAATCAGGCCTCTTGGAATCCTAGAGTTCACAACAACCATCCGGGTTCCTGGAGGGAAGAATTCAAGAGCATTATAGTGCTCACCTCCTGACTCCAGAGTTGGATTCAACTAATAATATTAATTGGTCACTGATTATCAGTTTAGTATTTTAGACACATTACTTCATTTATTCTTCACAGCATTAAAACATCACTCAATCAACAAACATTCCCTGGATGTTTAATAATGACTAGGGCTTAAGGGATGCAAAATTGAAAAATGCAAGATTTCAACAAGAAAACATAACTCTTAGAAGAGGAAAAGCACTGGTCAATAAATATATGATGACATGCTTCTCCTAATGATTAAAGGAAGGCAAATTAAAAATCATGTGATCTTTTTCATCTCTTAGAGTAACAAAGATTGGCATCCTATGTTTGTGAGGGTGCTGAGAAACCCGCATTCCCATACACGTTGGTGGGAATATAGATTGATGCCGCCTCTTGAGCAACTTGGTAATATTTATTAACATTTAAAATGTGCTTATATAGTTTGGGGAAGTGGGAGAACATCTATCCTTCAGTGGACTTGCATCCAGAACATATAGAGAACACCTACAGTTCAACAATAAGAAGACAACATTGAAAAAAATAAGCAAAATATTTGAGAAGACATTTCACCAAAGAAGACATATGGATAGGCAACAAGCACACAAAAGATACCCAGTGTGGGAAAAGCAAATCAAAATCCACAATGAGATACCACTATACAAATACTAGAATGTCTATAATCAACAAGACACACAATACCAAATGTTGATGAGGGTGTAAAATAACTGGAACTCTTAGACGTTTCTGGTCAGCATGCAAAATGCAGTAATTGCTTTGTATTTTTGTTTGTTCAAATTTTATTTTGTAATAAGAACACTTAAAATGAGATCTACCTTCTTAACAAATTTTTAAGTGTACAAATATATTATTGTTGACTATAGTACAATGTACAGTGTTTTAGCGCTTTTAGAGTACAATGTACAGCAGATTTTTAGAGCTGATTAATCTTACTTAGCTCAAACTTTATGCCCCTGATTAGTAATTCCCAGTTTCCCCTTCTGCCCACCCCCTGGCAACCACCATTCCAATCTTTGATTCTATGAATTTGACAATTTTAGATATCTCATATATGTGGAATTACACAGTATTTGTCTTTCTGTAACTAGTTCATTTCACTTAGCCTTAGTCCTCAGGTTTCATCCATGCTATAGCATATTGCAGAATTTCCTTCTTTTTTAAGGCTGAGTAGTATTCCGTGTGTATACATACCATACTTTCTTTATCCATTTACCTATCAATGGACATTTAAATTGTTTCTATGTCTTGGTTATGTTGTGGCACCAAACTAAAATGGAGTCACTTATGTCACGGACAAAATGAAGATGGTCAACACAGGCACATAAGGGAAACTTAACCTAACCTAACTGGAATTTACAGCTCTTCTCAAAACTCAGCAGAGCACACCAGCCAATCCTCAAACACTAAATCTGTTCATACCATTTCTAGACTTTGTTCCCCTGACTTAGCTACCCTGATCCAAATAAGAAAGAAGACTGCTAGGCAACTGATCTCCTGAGGAAACCAAATAACTTCCACATTTACTCCATAAAAATCCCTTAGTCTGTGAGCAACGCAGAACTCACTGTTCCTTGCAGCCTTGAGTTTCCTGGCTTGCAGGTTGAAAACCTTGCAATAAACTCATCTTTCTGCTTTGTTTTATTCAGTGTGCAGAGTTTGGTTTTTGACACTGCGAATAGTCAAAACCCAAACTCTGTGAATAGTGCTGCAATGAACATGAGGATGCTAATATTTCTTCAAGAAGCTGATTTCAATTCTTTTGGATAAATGCCCAGAAGTGACAATGCTGGATCATATGGTAATTCTATGTTTAGATTTTTGGGGAATCTCCATAGTATTTTCCATAGCAGTTGCAGTATTTTGCATTCCCACCAACAGTGTGCAAGGGTTCCAAATTCTCCATATCCTTGACTTGCTTGTTGTCTTTGTTTTTTTCGGTAATAGCCATCCCAATAGGTGTGAGTCAATATCTCATTTGTTTCTGATTTGCATTTTCCTGATGATTAGTGACTTCTGAGGCATATTTTTATATATCTATTAGCCATTTGAACATCTTCTTTGGAGAAATTTCCCCACACAAATCCCTAGCTCATTTTTAATGTATCCATTTTATAAACAAGAAGTAAAGTGATTTCTTCAAGGTCACACAGCCCGCCATCCTCCCCTAAAAGTTATGTGACAGTGAGCTGACAGGATCCACCCAGTGCGGGGAGATACAACCAATCATGTTTGCTGTGAGGTCACTTGGAAGGCCTGGGATTGGTGCTGTTATGTAAGCAGAGCTGGCTGTCCTCAGCCGCCCGTGCAGCTGTGGGTGGCAGGAGGTTCGGGATGGTTGTGCTTTCCCTGGGTTGCTCTGGGGGCACTAGTTCTCTAACCTCTGCAAGTCCCTTGGGGACCCTCAGCACTGGATGGGTTAGCCATGGAGATGCCCTTTCCTTCTTGCTGTGGTCTATCACCCAAGCTCATGCCCGTGTAGCCTGCAGCGGCTCTCCCTGCATCTCTCCATGGAAGAAAGGGAAAGGCCATGATAGGTGCCAGTCCTGCTCAGACTTGCGTTTCAGCAGCAGTGACTGCACATCACATAGTTCCCGCATGACCTGGCTGGCCTCAAGCCAGCACAAAGCAATCAGAGACAGACTTCAATGCCTGTGTTTGAGGCTCCCAGGCTGTGCTGCAAGCTGAAGAGGCCCCAGCTTTATAGAAAAAAAGATGGAGGTCCAGAGAGAGGAAGGGGCTTGGCCCAGGGCACACAGCAAGTTAATGACATGGACTCTTCCTTCAGGGCAGAAAATTGAATGGTAACCTTTCCAACTTTATCTTCACCTCCTCCTGACAAATACCCTCACTCTTCTCTGCCTCTGGCTTCTTCTATGTCCCATGCCCATAAAGCATCCTCTGGGCAGCAAGGTTTATCAAAAATAAATAAGGACTTTAGAATCACACTAACCTTGGAAACCCATACTTGCTGTAGGACAGTGGACAAATTGTGTTACTTCTCTGGCCTTATTTTTCTCTTTGCTATGGGATAGTAATCTCTATCTTACAAGAATAAATGAGAAACTGGGAAGAAGTTTGGTATAGAGCAGCAGTTTTCAAAGTATGGTATCTGGACCATCAGCATCAGAACCACTTGGTAATTTGTTAGAAATGAGTATTCTCCAGCCCTACTCCAGATCTGCTGGATCAGAGTCTCTGGGACCCAGCAATCTATGTTTTAACAAACTCTCCAGGTGATTCTGATGCATGCTAAAGTTTGAGAACCACTAGTATACAAAGACTAAAATCGTTGGGTTTGGAGTCAGATAGTTCTGTGTTCTTCTAAAATGTCT